ATTTCGCTTCGCTAACTGTAACCTCTCATTCACGTGTTTGCTTGAAGACTTTATCAACTGTTTTCAATAAATCGAATTCAACTCGCACAACGACGAATGACGCCAGATAACAGTTCATTCTATAATTGTCAAACTATTATTAAAATTTAGTATTGATTCTCTAAATCTGGTAAGAGAAAATTATAATACATCTAGGGCTCATTATCTTTCAATTAAAGAAAAAAAATACTAAATTTGGTTGAGTAGAAAGCTGAAGCTTTTTCTAAACGAAAACCCTTTCTGTTTAAAAAACGAAGATGACTATGTTAATATTTATGCTCACACAAGAACTTAAAAATTAGCAATAAAAGTAAAACACAGCCCAAAATTTAAAAAAATAATAAACAATGTCGAAGCCCAACAGCAAGAAAATTTATACATTCTGTTTAAAAAAAGAAAAAGAAAGAAAAGAAAAAGAAAAAAAACGAACTAAATGGGCAAGTACTTTTTTCTGTATACGCAGAAAGCATTTTATAGACCAACAAAGGGACATTCGATAGCCCAACCCAACTTCCTATGTAGCATTTTATAGACCAACAAACAACACCAGAGTAGTGTCTTTGTGCTTAACAAAACTCTCGATGACAGTCTTTCCGAAGCATTTTTGAAATTTACATTATAATTTAGAAGCGCGGACTAGAGGCAGCCCGGTTCAGAGAGCAGCTGCGCGTGCGGCATTCCCGCGCGGGCAGCGGAGCCCCTGGGGGGCACCTGCGCTGCAAGTCCGCAACCCGCGCGGCACGCGAGCCGGCGCATCTGATGCACGGCGCGGCGGCGCGAGCGCTCCGCAGGCACGCGGCGGCTCGCAGCGTATTATCCGACTCTGATTACCTGTCGCGGCGGCGCGGTTAATTACCGGCGGTGGGCAGGACGAACGCGTGGCCGCTGTGCGCTCGCAGCCGAACGCCGCCCTTCAGGCGGGGGCGGCGGCGGCGGCAACAGGGGCGACGGCGGCGCGGGGACGCCCGCCGCCTTTGTCCCGGGCAGAAACCGCGCGGATCCATTTGCCTGCAATTGCGGCCGAGCGGTACGTCCGCGCGCTCTCAGTTTTGCTTCCAAACGCAAGATTCCGTGATAATGTCTCTTCGACGGGAGAGGCATTGTCAGTGATGTCGGTGTTGATTGCGTATGGTAGTTCTCCTTGGCGTAGACGTTGGCCTTGTCCTGTATCGGATTATTGATTGGCGAATCTTTTTGTGCGTTACATGAGGATGGTACTTGTACGTTAATTCACTTATTTTTATTTTAGTAACTTTTGTAGTAGGTAAATTGTTTACAGAAATATTTGTCCCAAAAAGGTCCTTCTTAATTCGACCAAGGTTAATTCATCTCAAAGATGACTTAATACACTCAAATGATTAACCACAAAATTACAATTTATCAAGTTTTTAGCAATAACGTACTTCCTTATTTACGTGTACATGACGCTCTATCACTTAGAAAAGAATTAAATGTAAGCATGCATTTTTGTCGCAGTCTAAGGACAAGCGTTGTTCTGGATAAATGTTATTGTAGTTTTCACTTACAAATTAAACTCTTTACAACATTTGTAAAGAAGATTGTAGTTTCGTCGATATCTCTCCTCCGTCATCTTAATAATGGATCATGTTATTTTATTGCTTCTTTTTCACAAAAGTATATTTGAATAGTTACGTATAAATATGGCACATTTGTTTTATTACAGGAGAAACTAGAAGTTTCCGTGCAACGGATTTTACTTTATTCCTCTCCTCCTTTTATGTGTGACAAATCTTAACTTCACCCACAATGTTTATATCACCAACAACAACGGCATTTCGTCACGCACTGCCCAGCACCCTTATGCCATGATTTCGCGTCCCCTGTCCGAAACCAAAAGAATTCCCTGTGAGCCATTCCAAACCGAGTTGTGGTGGGTAATTCTCCCCGGAGCATCGGGTGCGCTGGCGGCGTGGCGTCTACCCAAGAGAAATCGCCGGTTGCCAATCCTGTCTCTGCGGCGCATAATCGCTGCCACATAATTCCGAAACCACGTTCCAGCCACACTGTAGTAGACCACAAATCCGTCACGATGTGTCCTTTCCTGTTTCCCTTCGAAGATTCACGCGAGGAAAAGCGAAACGGCAGCGTTTCGATTCGTTACAAATTCAATATCATTCATGTCATTAACGATTTATATTCTCCCGGAAACGTCTTGTACCAGATCTCTCTTATTTAGTCGTTAACATCCTTATCTTTATTTGGCAATGAAGATTATTATTATTGTTATTATTATCATTTATTGTTATTAATTATTATTAATTATTATTATTCACAATTTTTCAGAATTTTTATATCAATATCTCAAGAGTACGCGTAAAAATGTGTAAGAGTAATTACGTAGTTTCGCATACTACCAATTGAAGGCTCTTTTCCGATTCTTTATGTGTAGTATTATTTTATATCCATACGGTATATTATACTGGCAAATGATATTTTACAGGATTTGTTTATACTTTCTGGCATACTACCTGAAAAGAAAGTTATGTATTGCTCTATAGCGTTAGAGAACGAAAACCGGTGTTGTTGTTGTTTTTTTTTTTTTTTTTAGAAAAGGTCATTTTGTAGATCCCTGATACCAAAAAAGTTAATTCTTTAAGAAGTAAAGCCTTTAAGTAGTAAATTACTTTATCTGATACGTTAAGCAATTATAATATACATTGTGTGGGTTCGTGTTACCTAAAGATTAGTTTACGGCAAAACGAGTCTGTCCGTCAACACTATCGCTTAAATCGTAAGCAGGATTTTCACCAAAATTGATATTCCCGATCCATCTGACGGAACTTATTTATTTTAAAACACGGAATATTTTTTATATTATTGAGTTAATTTCAATCTTCGATGGAGTACTCTCGATGATTTTCTCTGCCTATCCTTCCTCTTTCACTAATAGTAATTCACTTGTTGACTCGCTCAGAAGCGTTCCTTCTCTGGTAATATCCATTTCTCTCTCGGAAAACCTATTTTCATGACTTGTTTGTCGATATCTCATAATTTCATATCTTTATGTTGTAATACGTAACATGCTTTCTTTTTCTCCTAAAACGTGAGGATTACGTTGGCAATTCTTCTGAGTTCCATCCTATTCATTTATCCATAAAATACCCCTCTTCTTTGCTTAATTGCATTATTATTATTATTATTATCATTATTATCATTAAGCAATTAAGTAATATATGGAAACGATACATATTTGAAATAAAATAGTAAACAATCTTATAATCTTTTCTTTTTTTATTTATATTTGTTTACTACAAGTGATTTGTGGTTTGTTAGATTCCATCTCAGCAATGCGACTTACAGGCTGGACGTGAAATTATAACGTAGTATTATTTGTGTGTGTGTATGTATGACAACTGCCGTGTAATGTCGATTTATTATTCTGTATTTTATAAATAAATTGTTATGATTTGAAATAGAAGGAAAATGTTTTCTTGACAAATATACTTATTTGTAGCTTTAATAGACACAACTTGATAATACGTTTTATTAATGAAGCTTAAAGAACATCGATATTGAATAATTTCATTAATCCTTTAGTGCCAAGACAACACATCTATTCATCCGGACATCAAATCTGTTTAGGATTAAAATTGCATTCAAAGCAGGTAAATAAAATATTACCTTCATCTTTATTTTGATCTTAATATACCTCAGGAGTGTTATTAGCTTTCTACAATTTTATAAGCTCTTTTGACTTTCGAAGGAAAGGAAGTTTATTGAAATGCTCATAATATAAGGGAATTATTTTGTATCAAATGGAATGTTACCGTGAGGACATGTTTGTAGAAGAGCGTCTAAAATTAATTTTCATTGAAAAGTACTGTAAACTTTTTATTTGAACGCGTTCCAAATTTAGAGTAGAGATGTTTCTAGAAAACGTTGGTTGCGTATCGTATATCAGAAATGCAGGATTGTTATCCATCATGTAGAACTGCTCCCTAATCCAATATCGAGGAAATTACTTGTTCAAACTTAACACTCTGCAGTCCCCTTAAGAATGGTTTGAATCACTTTTGTGAAAATATCTTCGAGAATAAGTTAAAAACAAAACAATGAGGTAAACGTCTGCATTTCATCAAGTTGAGATTTGAATTTCTAATGAAATCTATTTACTGACTATATTGCGACTATTACAGTTCAGAAATAGTTTATTCGTAATGTGACTGTAAATATTATGTACACAATTGTCTGTAAGTAAATTTGGTCAGAAAGTCAAGTCTCAACTGAGAAAGAAAAACTTTTGAATGCACTTACGACGGCAAAAACAGAATCTCGCGCAAGATTGGAATAACTTCGACAGTCCCACAGTTTTCTTAAAATATAATTTTTTCACTACATTAACTTGTTTTTAAAATATTCAAGTACGTTTCGCTTACTTGCTTGTATGTACAGACACAATCAGACTGACATTATTTGCTCTTTCCTGTCATCGGTATTGGAGGATCCGGAGCCGGAGGATTCGGGACAGGAGTTTGTCGAAGAAGATAGAATTTCTTCCCCACCAACACGCATCAGTTCTTTGGCATTATAAACAGGTTAAAATTTAACTATGAAAAATGCGCAAGCGATTTTAGAACCGCCTCTTTGTATCCCAACTTTTTCCCACTTCGTACCCCAATTTGCCATCCTTTCTTGTGTTCAATTTATTTAAGTACACATATATAAAATGGTTATTAATTTATATCCAACTAATCACAAAAGTCACTCTTTTAAATCATTCAATTTATCATAAATAAAATATTTTTGTTGATTCGTTGAATTTCTTTTTCTTTGTTCAGCTTAACCCCCAGAACCACCGCTCCACGATGCTGCGGATCCTCCTTAAGTAGCCGGACCGTTGTCCTGCCGTGCTAGGTCTGTCGCCCTTGCATGGAGCTCGCCACACGCGAAGACGGGGCGCCTCGGCCACGTCCCGGCTGCTGCCCTGGCTGTGGTTGCAGGTCCGCGCTCGCAGCGCCACGTCGTCCAGCGGCTACGACTCGTACCAGAGCCCCCGGCGATGTGCGGCGCTGCCGCTACGAGCGCTGCGGCACGGCGGAGCCGCCGCCGCCGCCGCCAGCGCCACCGCCGCCGGTCAGCCGCCCGCCCACGCCGCCGCCTGCGCCGCCACCGGCTCCACGGCCCTCGGCACCTGCAGCGGCCGCCGCAGCCGGACTGCGGGGTCGGCCGGTCGACCTGCCCTGGTGATTGCCGGACAAGGAGGCGGATTTTCGCCCTGAATCCATCCTAAATCCATCACTCGGCAACTACCGGACGAGAACAGCTAGGCGTACGGCCTGTTCTGCTCGTACTTTTCTCCTGTCTGCATCTCGTGCTTTTATTCCTTTTGTATTGTCCTGAAAAATGACATCGTAATAATGTATGCGTGTGTTGGTCGTGCACTGAGATTGGAACACAACAAAGAGAGCCAGTCTGAGAAAGCCTTGCGGCTGTTTTAATCGCCGTCGTCCTCGTCGTCGTACCCCAATTTTTGTTCTTTTAAAATTCTTGTCTTGTATACGTACTTTGTCAAATACAAAATGCTAAGAAAGTGAGAAAAAGTAAGTACAAATTTCCCATTCCCGTCAAATAACCTGTTTGTATACTCATATCTGAATACCATGCACATTTACGACAAATAGAATTGGAAAATATTTCATTTGATGCCGTTTACTGCTTAAACGTACTGGATATTAACTACATTAACTGGCATAAAATATTGTTAAAAATTACACTCATTCAGCTTTCCCTTCATGGAGCAAGTTCTCAAATTCCGTATAAAGGCCAATCATTTCAAAATTTAACTAGTGGTGTTACAATTGCACAGACTTGTCCGTGTTAGTTTTCTATTTCCTTTGGTTTCGGCAAGCTATTCTGACTTACCACATACTCTTGCCAGTTGCCATCTCCCCCCCCCCCCCCCCNCCCCCCCCCCGCCTAAAGTACATTTCTTTTTTAACTTTTCTCAATTTTTCAGTTTCCTAATAGTAGAACGGAAATATTATTTTAATAATATTAGAAAACGGTAAAATCTCGTCCGAAATGGCAATTTTCTTCTAAAAATTTAGAGCCGTTTGTATGAAAATGCCGTTTGAAGAAATTTGGCCTGAGTCGAAGCTCTGCGATTTTGAGCATCATTCATTCGGTTTTGGGGGTGAAGCCCCTGGTACATTTTCAAAACTTTCTCAAAAATTGCTCCAATGTTTTTATTTAAATTTTTTGTAAGAGATTGATAATTTCTTGTAGAGTGTAATGGCGGTATATGTTCTATTGTCACGATTAACTGTAATTTCCGAAAACTGCAAAAAGTTTGAATTTTTCGGGTTCTTCTAACAACTACAATTTAATGAAAGAAATTTTTCTTTCAAATGAAATTTGTTGTCCATAGTGAATACTTTCATGAAGATCCTACACAGTTTTTGAAAGTTTTAGAAGTTTTTGCGCAATATTACGAGCAAAATGAGCAATTTTAAAAGATTATAAAAACAATATTGTCTCAAAAAAAAGCTCCAAATTTTTTTTTTTCAACTTTTGGTAGGGATTTTGCTAAATGGATTCTATAACATGACATAAACGCCATATTGCTCTATTTTTTTGTTTCTGAAAATTACAAAAATGTATTTTTTTTACTTGCTTCTCACGTTGTTAATATTTATACTAGCGCAATTTTCTCACATAATTATTATGAGAACCTCTACTTGAAATAATGTCATATAAAGTTTTCTCGAAAACTCCACCGTTTTCTGTTAAAGCTAGTTCCAAATGTCGCATTTCCAGAAACGCTCAAACACCATTTTGTCGAAAAATGACTCCAAATTTCATCCTTCTAACTCTTCGAACGGATAGTGCTAACTGTAATATGGCGTAAAGTTCATTTCGGAATATATTTTTGTATTTGTTGTAAATTACACAATTTATTTAAAGATTTCTCGCGCCGATTAATATGCACTCTTTGTGATTTGTTAACACTATTGCATTTATGAGTTACAGTGCTTCAAATTACTTCTAATAAAGATTTTTAAAACTCAATTAGTTTTCTGCGAAAAAGAGCTTCAAATTTGGCATTTCCAGTACCGCTTAAATGCCATTTTCTTAAAAAGGGCTCTAAATTGTTAAATGAAAATTGTCATTTATGGCGAGGGTTTACTGCTTTTTAATATTTTTAATTAGATATTTCGGTTCTACTATTAGGAAATCGTAAAATTGATAATTTTTTAATTACTTTCGGCGTCGACAGATGGCACCTGGTAAGAGTATCTAGCAAGACAAAATAGCTAGTCCAGACCAAAGGAAACAGAAAACTAATGCGGGAAAGTCTGTGCCATTCTGAAGCACCAATTGTTTGTTATCAGGGCCCCGCAATGACTTATTCTGCCGAAAATCCGCCGTTTTTCTCGCTGCATTACATAACTTCCCTGTACTACGTATATTTCTCCGTATATACGTATGTATACGGGAAATTAAAAAAGGACATCTGAATGGGAATAACCATGAAAATTAGGTCGTAAAAGAGGAAAGATATCGAAACAGTTTCAATTGACAAATGACATGATCTAAGCTGAAGGTCTAACCTTACAAAACGGCGAAGTACCTAATCAGTTTTTTTAGATAATTTAAAAACATTCCTCTCCAGACCATTTTTTCGAAGTTTGAGTTGTTTATTGACTTTATTGCGGGAGCTAGTTGTACTCTTTCTCCCGCTAGATGGTGAGATCCGTCTGCGACCTACACATTTGTATACAGGATTTACCCCTACCAGGTATCTTCCATCTGCGGGGCATCGTCAAAGCTCTAAGCTCCCGATTGGTCTCCTGACAAATGGTTGTGTTGTGCGTGTTAATAAGGGTAGAGGACACGACAAGAAAGAGGGAGGAAAGATTGCGCCCGGTCCGTTGCCCTTTTGGGCATTGTATTGTTTCGGCATTCGCCTGATGTTGATCGGAGAAACCCTGCAGAACTACCGATCAAAACATCCGGCCGCTAGAAATCTCCTCCAGACAGCGATTGAATTCGACCTAGCTATGAAGCTAGTGTCGAAAATCGTACTACCGTCGAGATCCGAATACTAGGACCTCCCAGTCAGAGGGATTACAGTAACATCAGTTGATGACCTTAGCCACTTAAGCCGTTTTTTAAAATATTCTATATCCTAAAGGAATGATAGAACTTTTAGATCAGTTGCTATTAACAGACGTTCCTAGAAAATTACATGCGCCCTTCTTCAGGTAAATATTGAAACATTGATATCAGATATCCACATTTTGCAATTTTCTTAAAGTGTTGTAATTCTTAACAGTATTTAGTCTTTAAAAGCTCATGCTTCATTGACTTATTTACCAGACTTACTTCTACTGAAGGTATCTTATTGGCCGGCATAGAAGATGTTTTCTGGTCATGTATTATTTTCTTTCTACAGTTGTCGACTACTTCCTTTCATCCTGTTTACCTCCAATGCAACTTGCCCTTCTTTTCTTAAAAGTTGATTGCTTGCGTAAAGAACTCAAAAATTGTAACTGTAGTATTGTATTGTAACTAGCGACGCGACATCGATAACAACACATCGATGTTAGCAAACGTCGATGATCGAAATTAAAACATCGATATTAAATGTTTTAAACATCGCTGTTTTATATGTGATACAGTAACATTATATTCTTGTAGTAATCTATAACAATATTTAATTTGACAACAGCCATAATTATTAATTTATAATTAAAATTTAACTGGAAAGATAATTTAAAAATATAAGTGCTAATAAGAACAAAATTAAACCTGAGCGCCCTCGGCCATCTCACGGTACTCATTTCGGGAAGAAGAATACGGGCAGAGGGGGCTCGTGCTTCAAGTACGATTGTTTTCAACAACTACGCCGCATCACTCGACCACATTCCCATGTGTGCAATGCACCATGTGTTCAAAAGTATCAGGACACGTGGCTGAAAATGACTTACCAATTCGTGGCGCCCTCCATCAGTAATGCTGGAATTCAAAAGGGCGTTGGCCCACGATTAGCTTTGATGGCAGCATCTACTCTCGCAGGCATACTTTCAATCATGTACTGGAAGGTTTCTTGGGGAATTGCAGCCCATTCTTCACGGAGTGATGTATCAATGTAGATGGGTGACGCCTGGCACGACGTCGGCATTCCAAATCATCACAAGGTGTTCGATAGGATTCACTTCAGGACTCTGTGCAGGCTAGTCCATTCCAGGGATGTTATTGTCCCCCACAGGCCGTGCAATATGAGCAGGTGCTCGATCGTGTTGAAAGATGCAATCGCCATCCCCAAATTGCTCTTCAACTGTGAGAAGCAAGAAACTGTTTAAACCGTCGGCCTGTACCGTAATAGTGCCACAACAAACAACAAGGGGTGCACGCCCTTCCTTGACAAACACGACCACACCATAAAACAATTTTGGACGTGTCCGGATACTTTTGATCACATAGTGTACAAAGAAAGTTGTAGGAGACGACAGAACATCAGAGTCATCTCGGACGAGAAATAATCTGTTCAATGATGGTAGTTCAATCATTCTCTGCAAGGTATTTTTACTACATATCCTGTGTGCATTCTACGTCCACTATTTTTTGCACTTGACACTACCGGTGGTGCCACATCCATAACAAGGTTTACATTAACCCTAAAAAATGTTTGCTTAACTGGAGTAATTAAAATAAGAAAACTTCACTGTGTTATACATGGTACCACGCTATGTCATTCCCAAAATTGCTGTTCTGAAGCGTGGGTGCTCGGCGAACATTCGACTCTTCTCGCAACGTTGCCAGATTTGAGCACTACGGCCTTCTACTCTTCGATTTATTTATAATGGCTCATCAAGGTCAAGAACGAAAAGGGAGTGGAAAAGCAGTCTTCATTAGGGAGCTTTAACGTCACTACAGTGTTGACAAAGCGGACGCCCTCAACGCGGCTGGTGGCCAGTCATGTGCTTACCACGTGCTAGCTGCCCGAATGTGTGGCAACACAGCGTAACGTGACCGTAAATCGAAACATAAGAAGCAGGTCATGGCCAAACGGCGATGAGAAATTGCTGTTTTTTCTTATGTCGCGAAATGTTGCAGGTGCCGGCCATTCCCTCGCATGTACTAATTTGATAACAGTATTGCAATCATTAAAATTCTATGTAACATGATTCTACATTATTGCCCAGGGAGAAAATGTATTTTGTTGCGAAGAAAGTTTCTCTTTCTTCAAATCTTCATTTCTAAATTATTAATTTATTCATTTTATCTACTAAGAGTGAGGTTGTGCTCGTGGCTAGCCCTTGGTCAGCGTGTGCGTTTTCATTGCAATGTCCCCGTATATGTTAATCTGTGACGACGAGAAAATTCCCTTCTCAGGTTGAGAAGACCGGAATACTACGTGGGTCTACCTGCCAACCACACGTACCCCCTTAACCCATGGCCGTGAGGCAGGGACGTCGCCGGTAGGCCTGAGCCCGTTCACGGACTGTCCCGCCAAGAACATACATACAAGAATGAGGTTAAGCCCTCCGCCAGACATTTCTGACATGATACATTCACTCTGTT